ATTTGTGGCCAAAATGTGAGGCACACACACACACACATGAGGAGGGGAGTAGGGGCGACGGGGAGAGGGAGAGAGGACCAACTCCATGTGGCAAACAAATAGACATGGAAATCATTGAATTACTAATGCGGGAAGCGCATGGGGGGGGGGGGGGGGGGGGGGGGGGGGTAGCTGGAAATGTGTACGAAAATGTGGAAAATGGTGAATGGCAAATGAATTGGAATTGGAATATGAAACCAATTTGCATTCCGATTGCCAATTGTGAGGCCAATTTCCAAAAAAGATGTATAAAAGGAGTCATGAATCGGAATCGGAATGGGAATCGCCTGTACGTACATGTGTTCTATAACCCGAGGATTTCCTTGGGAGAATTTCCTTTGGCTTTTCATCAATTAGATTTCCTGAGCCAAAAAAAAACAGACATTTCTCGATCTTTGGGATTTAATTTTCGTGTTTTGGCTGTCGACTTTTAAGGTATTTCCACTCACCCTTTCCCCCCCCCCCCCCCCCCCCCCCCCCCACTCTTGCCTCTCTTCCTAAGCTTGCCACGCCCCTTACTCTCTTCTTTAGCCTCCTTTTTTTCATTTCCCTGCTAATGCTTTTCCGCCCAAAAAGTTATTGAAAAATCGATCTAAGGGTTAGCCTTTTTTTCTGGGGGGTTTAAGGGGACTATATATATGCACCTCTGGTCCCTCTGGTTCCTCCCCCCCTGCCACTTTAAGCCCACTTTCCATTTTAGGGGCCACCATATTTGCAGATGTCGGAAGTGGATTTCAATGAATGGAATGAAAGTCGGAGTGAAACTTGAGTGATTTATTTGCCACCGCCCCCCCCCTCCATGCTCCATAGCATAGCCCCCTACCCCCTACCCCCACCAGCCCCCTGCACCTTTTCTCTAACGAAAAAACTCGCCGACAATTGGGGGCAGAGATCGTTAAACAATTTTCTGATTTATTTGCGCAACGAGCGCTAGGGGGCGGGGAGAGGAGAGGAGAGGAAGGGGGGTGGGCTATCATTAGCAAGGGGGCTTTTCCTTGAAAATCTAATGCGTATTTTGAAGGAGTTTTGGGGAGAGATTGTTTTCTTTTTTGTGGCCCAAAATATATTCCCTTGACTTTCGTGGGAAATTGTTTGCCATCTTCTACGGTTCTTTGGGGGAAAAACCAACGAAACGAAAGCAATGGAGAAGCAGTGGAGCGTCCCTACTGTGCTCCCCCCCCACCCCCTTTTCAAGGACTCTCGTACCCCAACAGCCTCACATTTTTGATAAGAAAGTCGCTCCAATTGTCTATGCGGCCCCCTCTCTCTGTTTTTCTTGTTTTCTTTCTCTCTCTCACTCCCTTGGCATCCCTCCTTCCTCCCAAACACGAGCATGTGTGTGTTTTGTGTTTAGACGGGGCGAAGCATTGTCTGCCAGATGCTGCCTGGTGCTCTGCCCAAAAAAACGCCAGGACCTCCGGTTATAAGGTTTTTTTATGCATTGTTTTCTGTTTTTAGCTGTTGTCTTTCCGGAGGGGAGGGGCAGTTTCCAGGGATATATGGAATATAGAACGCAATCTTGGTACACTTTTTAGTTGTTTTTTTTTTCAGAAATATTTGGACAACAGAGTTTTGGGCTAAGAATACCCAGCAAACACCTAAATAAAATTGTATTAAATTAAGGGTACGATTCGTTCTTAGGTTTCGGTTCCTTTGTTGAAGAATCGATGAATTTTCTGCTTGATTTTTGGTTCCATCTGCCATTCAACCTTTTTCCCTCCTTGTGCCCTCTTTTTTCTCTCCCTATTTGCCTGCAGGGCATTCCCCATTCGTCTTTTGCATGTTGTTGTTCTTTTGCTTTGTTTTTAACCATTTTTTGGGCTGTTATTACTCTTGTTTTTTTGTGTGTTATTGCCACCGCTGCTCGGGCCATGGCCATTGGCTGCCCTGTCTAGCCCCTGCTCCCTGCCTCCCAGACGCTAGAGAGTAACAGGGAGAGGGGCACGGGGAGGAGTAGAGGGGCTGTGCAGTGATGGTGTGGCTTGCTTCGGTGTCTCGGAGGGGCCTCCCGACTCCACTTATTTGTATGCTTGAGTGAAGACTCGCTAGTGTGGGCTTTGCATATCCTAGAAAATCTGTAAAAACCTATAGCTTGTCAGCACTGGCGTGGCACTGCTCTTGTTTGTCGTCTCTCCCCATCGTTACCCCCCTCATATCGATCTGATGTGCCGCCCCTGGGGTGGGTGATTCCTCGTTGCCTGCTGATCTTTGGACGCTGGGTATCACTGGGCCGACTCTCCGGCATGCGCCTACAGCCACACTGCTCCCATGTGTTCGTTTTTTTTGTATCTCCTACGTGTGTGTGTTTGTGTGTGTGTGTGTGAGTGCAATGAATTGAGGATTTCGCTCGCTTTTCGTTTCGTTATCACATTTCGCTGTCTCATGCTCTGCCCGCGCCACAGCTTTCTTGCCTGCACAATCCTGTTGCTCGCTCTCTCTCCTGCGTTCCTTATCTTGTGCTTCTCCTCGCTTGCGCTCCTTCCTTTGCTCTGCGCTCTCTCTCTTTGTATTATGATTGCCTGATTAGTTTCTGAGTCGCATTTCGGACTCTGAAGTTCAACGGAGAGACAGCAAGAGAGACAGAGGAGGGAAGGAGATCTTTCCTCTGAGACAGACAGAGAGGGAGAGAGAGAGGCGTGGGATAATGGTTAGTAGCTTCCCTCCCAGCAACGCCATCTTCGTGCTTCTCTCTCCAGCTCCCCTTTTGAGGGGAACCTTTGGGTTCTTAATTGCATATTTTTGCCGCCTTCAATTTTCTTCTTCCCTTGCCTCTGAGATGTCGCTTAAGCGGGAGGGATATTAATGATAGATTGGGGATTATTGGGGGATGAGCATTGCGGGTTAATTGACTGCTGAAACGGGTTTCGAATTGGGTTAAAAGTTTAAGCAAATAAAGGATCATCTTAGGGGTTCCTTTGGGGTATATAATACATACATGATATGCTGTTTTAGGCCTCTGCTTTCCTGCAATTTCCTAAAGCGAGTTCCAGGAAAGTGCCGTAAAATATCACAATTAATATGTTTTCTATTAAGTGTGCATTAAATTCTAGCCATTTTCTACCATCCCTTTGCCCCTCTTGTGATTCCCCCAAACATTATATAAACCTCCACCTCCTGTACCTTCGTCTTGGAACTTTTTTGGGACTCTTAAGGACACACAAACACATAGCCCCCCCCTTCTCACTCCGCCTCTCGTAGATGGGGAAAATTATTGAATTTTTCGCCTAATTTACTGCCGTTTACTTTTTGTTCTTTTACTCATTTCTATATTCATCAGGCGAGTGAGGGAGGTAAACGTTATTGTGCTGCCACGTAACGTTGCGTATACGTAACGTAATTTACAACATATGAATGGTGGGGGGGTGTAGAGGGGAGGGGGGGAGCGGGACACAAAGCGTGGCATGTTGGCCGTAAATAACTTTACCAAGAAAACTCGTACTGCTCTTGGAGCTCCTTTGCCTTCCTCCTCCTCCTCCTGCCGTCGACTCCGTTGGGGGCAGCGCCTTTACATACATGCATATACATGTATGTGTGTGTGTATGTGTGTATTTGTATTTTGTTGCAAATTGAATTCTGGCGAAGGCAGGAGGCACAACTTTTTGTCACTTTCTTATGTTTGACGACAACTTTGGCAGATAGATTTGTATCTTGTTTCCCAAACTGCGCCCCAGGAACATGTATCTTTGGCGGATTTAGAAGGAGTAGCAACAAAGGCGGCAGTGGAACAAGTTCTGTGGCAAATACGAGTGATTTCGGCTGCTTATTAAGTGCCGCCACAAACAAAAATCGTTGCAGAACAAACCAGGAGAGGAGAGAGTTGAGAGGAGCGAGGAGCGAGGAGAAGAGAAGGTTTTCAAGGCCCACGCTGGTCATATGCCACGACACGATGGAGATGGAGATGGAAAAAAAGAGAACCAGAACCGAAACAGAAACAGAAACTTGTTTAACAGCATTTTTCACTGTCTGCCGCAGGCCCCATGCCCCATGCCGCATTCTCCTGCTCCTGCTGCGTCTGCTTCTGCTTCTGCTTCTCATTCTGCCTCCTACTTCTGCTCCCAAAAAAGGAGGCGCCGCCCAGCCTAAAGATGGACTACTTTGATGGTCTTTGAAGGCAGCCATTCGTCTCTTTAATTGCGTTTTAATCGATGTATCGATTGTTTCTATATCATTTACAAGTATTTTATTTGTGGCCTCTGAAGAAACCATTTATAGTTCATTTTTGTGTGAAATCGTCGAGAAATCGATTAAGAATCGATGTACACATGAATCGAAGTAAAAGAACTATCGATTTTTAATCAATTATTGATTTATTCCGCATTTATACATTGTCGATAATTATTCGATCGATCATTTTTTGAAAGCCACCTCCACGGATGTGTCCTCTGCCATTCCTTTCCTCATTCGAGCATACCCCAATGACCACATGTACGCCCAAAAATGGAAGAAAAGAATCAGAATGTGGCGATAACAAGGTTCCTCCATATATGCGAATATTCGCAGAGAATATATGAGAACATGGCATTCGCATCGAGGGTTTATTCTCGTAGAGTCCCCCGAAACCCCACCCCACCCTCCTAGCCCCTTGCCCCTCCTACCCCTCCACTCCTCCTCCGTATATAATCTTTTTTCGGTTTCGATTTCTTCTTTGCTCTTTCCTTTTGTTCCGTCGTCGATGGCGATGTCCCACTGCCAAAAAAAATAGTGCGAGAGGAAAGTGTAGAGAGGAAAGGAAAGGCATATTTCGAAGGGGTTGGGAACAAGGCATAAAAGCCATAGGAAACTGGATTGGTAAAGTATTCTTATGATTTATCTCCAAATTATTAATGATATCTGTACAAATAATTCGAATGAAATCGATGAGAATCGAAGGCAAAAGTTATTTTAATTCGCACTCTTTTCTTGAATATTGCTTCTATATTACACTTGCCATAGAAATATTAACATTTCGATATGATTTTCAGTTTCTATGGACTTTCATTGGTTTCTATCTGGATAATCTACCCAGACAACAGATTTTGAGGTAAGGAAAACGCAAAAAAAGGCCTGAAAATCCATGGAAAATGCTGAATAAACTTCTATTAATTAGGGATATATGTAAATATGTATGTATATCCGTATATGCTCGTATATTTATCAACTGCAAACTGCACTGCGGTTCATTCCATCTTTCTGGCATTCCATTCTCTCGACATTCCTCCCGAAAGCAAACATAATCGACCCTCGGATACTCCTGTCAGCTGTCAACGTTGACGGCCATTTTGTATTTTCATTTCCGCCTTTTTTTTGCTGTTGTATTATTTGTTTAATTTGTACACGAGTTTTGGGCTTAAGGGAAAGGGAAAGGCAGGGGAAAAGGGAAAAATCCCAGAAGAGAGAAAAATAAATATAAACATAATTTTTAATTGCACCCAAAAGAGGCGTAAAAAGAACAACAAGAGTGCCCCCTCCTTACTCTCTTCCCTCTTTCTTCCAACAGGGAAACACTTTCCCACTTTCCCTGAGGAAAATGGGGAACATTTCGAGACATTTGACATTTAAATTTCCAACGCAGCGACCTAATAAGGGGGGAGGAGGGGAGGAGGAAGGAGTTTGTTCCCTTTGAAGGCGCTTAAATTTTAAATGGGAAACCGCACGGCTGTCCGCCTCCCCTGAAAGTGTTGAAAACTTTTCTCAGAGACTGTGCCAAGTGATTTGGGTAAACAATGAAAAGCGATTACTCTTTCCCCCACTCTCTTCTCCGCGCTCTCTATGAGCGCCTCCTCGTTTTGTGGTAATAAAAATTGTAAACTTTGGCAATTAATTTAATTTATGCGGTGTCTTTAATGTTTATAATGTGTGTGTGTGGCATGGTGGGGCTTGTGGGGCACATGGCTCCACTCAAAGCAAATGTTTGCCAAGAGGAGAGTCCTCTGGGTGGTGTCCTGCCTTCGATAATGTGTGTGTGCATTCCGCAGGGGAAAACTACGGGGAAACTTAAGAAATTTCTCAGGTACGGAATGAGTGGAAAATCTGAGGATACGAGCGACATGTCATGTCACACGTCGCTGCGGTTTAGACCTCTCTCTGGGATCCTGGCATAATAAAGAGGATAATAATCATTTTGTGCAGGGATTCTGCGGGATTCATATCTTTATTTGTGTGTGAAGACACCCACAATTTGGGGTTTTAACACGTTCTAGCGAGCAAAACAGCAATCAAGGAGGCACGAAGGGTCTACCATGTAGAATAAAGATGGAAATTGGGAAATGCAGATGAAAATTGTACTATTTCCAGACAAATTGGCTCTTCTGTAGAGGATCTGTTACCCTCAATTAACCATAGATCTCTCCACCATAGATCTATTCTTATATCCGCTAACAGCCAGATGGAACTGTCCTCAACCTCGAGCTCGTCCCAACAAGGATGCCCCAAGGAGCCTATTCTGGCCCTTTCTTCCATCTAGAGTTGAATCCTTCTGCTCATTGGGGTTTGTGGATCTCCTGTAGCGTATCTCCATCACCTACTCGCAAACTACACATCAAATCACAGCAAACGGATGGCATTTCCCTGCCTCCCAGCGCCGACTTCTATCCTCAAATCCTTGGCTCCCTGTTTACAATAGAGAGCGACTTGTAGCCAAGTTTGAGGCTTGTCCATAATTAATGCACTTACACGATGCATAATTATAATTAGTCGCGCCGCCAGAACAACTTCTGCCTAGCTTCTGCCAAAAGTGGGATTGGGAGATACAAAGGGTGCCGTACAGGAGGGGTGGAGATGGATGGAGGTGCCATGATCCCATCCACAAACAAATACACTGGGAAAAACTTCATATAAAATTCACGAATGGCTCCCTCTCTGCCCCCCCTGCCTTATTGTTACTGCCACGCCCTCAAAACAGATTTAGGCAAATGTTAATTAGACGTTGCGTGAGGGGGAGGGGGGGGGATGGTGAGGGGGAAGGTTACGGCCCAGAGGGAAGAGCGGCTTGAAAATTGCCACAAATTTAGTTAACATTTTCATTGAAAATACAAGAGACTCGAAAAATGGATACCTCCCCTCCCTGCCACCCCTCTTCTCTACCCCCTCTCTCTCTCTCTCTCTCTCTCTCTATCTCTATCTGCTAACTTGATTACTGAATAATTGAGTGCGGGATATAATGAAATTCGTATTCAAAATTCGTCGTCATTCAGTCAGCGTCCGTCCGCCTCTCGTCTCATCCGGCTGAATCCAAAATCCAACTAAATGTTTGAGGAGCGAGAGAGATAGAGAGAGAGAGATGACAAGTGGGTGGTGGAAGAGAGGGGCTCTCCCTCTAGAGGTGTGTGCTGTATTCGTGGGTCTGTGTCTGTATTTGCGTTTGGGTTTTGTGCGTAGCCGACTTGCATACGTAATGACACTCTCTCTCCCTCTCTCTCTGTCTCTCTATCTCTCTGTCCATCCACCTTGCTGCCATGACACAGGCCCCTTCCCCTGTCCCTGTCCCTTACCCTTCCCTCATCATCACAAACATTATTCAGCAAACGCTTTTATAGCCATTCAATGCCTGACGCGGCGCATATCCCCCGCTTTAGAGCCAAATTCTTGTGGGCGAATGAATGTTGGAGCCTTGGAGACATGGATTCAAAGGATATCTTCTTTGGGTACCCAAAGATCTTACTAAAGAATTTTTAGAATGAGATGAAAAGAGAAAATAATGAGAATTTATACGAAAAAGATTCACTTTTAATGAATATGATTCAGGAGAAGGGATTTCAATATCCTGCTTCTCCTTTCGGTCTCTCTTGGCTTCTTCCTTTGATCCTTATACTTATCTACAGCCTTTCTTATGGACTTTGGAACCATTCTTATAACTATTTCTGAGAAATGGAACCGGGAATCGGGAACCGGGAACCAGGAACTGGTTGAACTGTTCAAAAGTCTCGTCTCTTCTTTCGTACTACTGTTATCCTGTTGATCCCTTGCCACCCTCCTTCCCTGCCCTTCCCTTCCCTTTCCTTCTTTCTCTCTCTCGCTCGTTCCCTTTCCTCTTTTTTTTGGCGCTGCTGTCGTTGTAACTGGCGTGTCATTTCGCTTTGAGGTTCATATAAATTGTTTGGGGATTTAGTCGCACGATTTTCGTGTCCTGCCGCTTCCTGAAGCCAGAACCCCCCCGAAGTAATTTCCCCCCGTTACCGCCCCTCCCTATTCCCGGACATAGCGACACCGGGGGGGCAACTACGGCTCTGTCTCTGGCTCCGGCTCATTATTGTCGTCGTCGGTCGACGACAGTTCTCGTTTCAGTTCTGCGCTTAATGACATCATTTTGTATGAAAAATTGTAGTTGCATACAAAAGAGACAGAGAGAAGGGAGGGGGGAGAGAGGGAGAGGGAGAGAAAGTAACATAGGGAATGCCAGTCGTCGCCAGAATGAATGCCGGCTTCGTAATCCTTGCCAAAAATTATAAAGTTGAGGTAATGATTAATGTCAGGGACCTGCTTCATGAGTCTCCTCCCACACCCCCTCTCCCCTCTTCTTCCTCTTTCTCTCTCCCAGTGTGTTCCCATCACGCATGGATATCCATCGTCTCCATGTAATAATCCTTCTCATGAAATATTTGTATGACAGAAATGAGACATAACTTTTCCTGAAAATTATATTAAAAGAGGAGAAAAGAAAAGCCAGAGAGGGAAGGAAGGGGGTAGAAAATGAAAATGGAAAGAGAGGAACAACAGAGCAAGAGATAGAGATAGAGAGAGAGAGAGAGAGAAAGATGATAACTTGTAATTCACTTTCATTTTTGTCTGTCTCCAAATTTTTCAACCAAATCCGAAGTCACGTTCCTCCAAAAAAAGGCAGCCAAAAGGTGAATAGTGAATGGAAAAATTGGGAAGAGAGAGAGAAAGAGAGTGAGAACGCTTTAAGCAGTAAAAACATTAAAATTCTTTGAAGCAGAAATATGAACCGCTATCAAATAAATACATATCCAAAAGAACCGTCAAAGAACCCTAGAAATATTTGTTGAAAGTGAAAGGAGCGCTTTTGGAAAAACTCTCTTGAGCAGCCAATTAATGTAATCACCCATGAAAATGCCAGGAAAGGAGGTTATTCCAAGGAATTTCCCGAGCTCTTGGACTTCTTTTCCATAAAATGCACTCGCATTTTCCCTTTTCCCAGCCATGACTTCACCTTGGCGGTAACCTCAGCCACATTTCATTCCATTTCCCATTTTGCCCCATTTCATAATTCATTCAAGAAAAAGTTTTGCATATTTTTTGTACAGCGCCAACTAATTTCAAGAGGTGAGGCACCTGCGATGATGAAATAAATAAAGAACTTGTCAACATTTTCTTCAGCTGAAAGGACGCCCCGACTCTGCTCCACGTCCCCACCAGCTACCTTCTACCTCCTACCTTCTCTCTTTGCTCTTTCTCCCTCTGCTTCTCCTTCTCCTGCTGTCACGCTGTGCCTTGTCGGCTGTCAGAGGAGTTTTCCCCGCAATGGAAATAATATATAAGCTGAATGTTTAAATAAGCTTCAAGTCGCAGACTGAGGAAGGAATTGATATGGGAGGAAAAGCCACATCAGGAGACGGCATTTTCCCACACCACACGCGTCTCCTTTCCACTGATTGCCCTTCCTTCCTCCTTGAATTGGTGCTAAAAATTGTCAAAATTCCATTAGGAAAACCCGCCAAAGAGGGAACTGTTTTCTCCACATTTTCTCTATATTTTAAAGCTTTAAATTGGGGATAATCCCCATAAATTTATGCCGATATCTATCTGTATTTGTGTTTACAAACACTAGCTTTAAATGTCATCCTGTCATCCTGCGTGAACTGCGGAATGTGGCAAGACTCCAAATCGTTGTTTAATCAATTGTTTAAGCTTTTGTTTCACCCATTGTTTAAGGGGCTACGTTATATGGATATGAATCCATATATCGTTAAGAGAATTCATCGTTTATAAAACAGGATAACCCTCTAGTCGAGTTCTATTTGACATTTAATAAACTAATTTTTATTTGTTTTATTATGCTGCCGCCTGTTGATTAGCGCTTCA